GCACCTCCCTAGGTGTACTTTCTAAAAGTGCGGCAACTCGCGATGGCAGTAGACACCCCCACTCAACCCCTATTTTTCGACGACCTACAATTATTTTCTACGACAAATCGGCTGTGCAAATAACAACCGAATGTTCGTCCACTAAGAGCCACTAAAAGGGTCAGCGGTGCTCTGCATTATCCGTATGGCTCAATTCTATTGCTTCCGTCTTTGTGTCGGGTTTTTATTCGCGCAACCCTGAAGCAGTTCGGACGTGTAGCCAACGCACATCTAGGTAACGATTCGATGTGACGTAAACAGGGTAGAAGTGTCGCTCGTTGGCTCATCTTTTGCTACACACTTGTTAGGCCCCAGGCGACCTTCTGCGTGCATTTAACGATGAGAGAGATACCCGCCCACTCAGAGCTCACATCCGTCACCGACAGAGAGACAGAGTGCCTCCCGCGGCCGCCTCCCGATGATCCGGCCTCCCTGGCTCCCCGGGAGAGCGTGCCTCCCGAGAGATTTCGAGAGACTGAGACGTAGCTCTCGTAGTCGATAAGAGCGACGACGGTACTGAAGCGAGATCTCAGACGCAAACGACACCGGCGCCCGCTGCTCCGTCTATACAGATTTGTGCCTCCGCCGAGTCGCTCTCCCGACGGAGCCGTGCTCGATCTCTTCCCGCACTCGAGAGAAGATCGTTCCGAAGAGAGAGATGAGTACGACCGAGCCGCGCGAGTAGAGAGAGGGTCTTCAGACATCCAGCTGCATGCCGATATTATCAGGACGTCTTATTCAAACCTCAACAGCACTCCCTAACACCTATCCTCTGCTCCTACGTCTCACGTGATCCCCGTCTCCTATTAGATCCTTATACGATCTATGACTAGACTCCTGATACCTATGGGGGTCGACAGGCAGACAAGAAACAAGATCAGAGAGACCAGTGAGAGAGAGAGAGAGATGAGAGATGAGAGGAGAGAGGACCGACCTATGTCGTGAGGGAGAGAGAGAGAGTTTGTGGAGAGAGAGGAGAGAGAGAGAGAGAGAGAGAGAGGAAGAGAAGAAGCGGGATAGATGAGAGAGACCGCGGCAGAGAAAGATAAGAGAGGCGTTACTGTCTGACGATTAGCGTTTCTGTGTCTAGGAGGTATATATTGCACTCTGGTGAACTTGTTACCGGCGAGTCATGGGCTGTCAGGCGAGTAGCCGGTAGCGCCTTAAGCTAGCACCTACAGTGAATATCAATGCGTGAGGACTTGCAGCTTCGGCCCAGTGGTCATATATCAGACAAATCCATAGATAAGTAAGCAGTTTTCTGTTCTTGTTGCTAATACTGACTCTGTCTGCGCTGCGCCGGGCGGACCGGTACTGTCGCATTGGGCGCGGTTGGCGGTTATTTCTCGCGTGCAAGTTGCAATCATACTGTAATAATTGTGTGTCGAGACTACTAACTATTAAGGAGGCGCGGAGTACTTATTGTGGATTATAGACTTCATGAGTATCCCTTTAGACGCTACCCGTCCGTTGCCATCCACGATTGTCACGCGTGCTTGTCGGCGTACCATAACGCCCGCACGCCAACGCGAACCTTGTCTAGTTTCGTTCTTCGGTTCCATACTGATAGATGGTATAACTCGATCTTTGTATAGTAGATTACCGACTTAATTTCCACGCAGTGCTGTCACTTCACAACAACGGCCAATAACCCGCAAATATTTACTCTGCATATGTCCTTTGATATGTCGCGTGATTGGTCGAGATTACGTAGGATTAGTCACCCGTTCATATCTGAAGCGATATAAAACTTGATCGGTACTCTGTACATCGTTCCGTGCGCTGATAACAATTGATTACATTATTTGTGGTTGAAAATAATGATTACGACGCCACAGAAACCCATAGCGCATGAACCGAACATGTCGAACTTCAATAAAATTAATGGCGTTTCAAATTACTTTGGAATGGATGTAATTATAATAAATATTAAATTGTTGGACTATAAGTTTTTATACTTTTATACTGCTTTCTGCTTGTAGTTACGTTGCCAGTATTCCAAATTTGCGGCATTCGAAGCAACGGACGTACTGGAGCTGATCCTTACGACAGTTTTGAAATTCATATATCCACTAGGTTATCTTATAGCCAATAAGAGTTTTTTGTTTTATTTGTAATTTGAAATTCTTCACAGGATTATCTAGTGCGTGGTCATGTAAGCCGCTATGCATATTCTCCCTCTCTCTCAGGGAACCGTGCGTTGCAGTTCTATAGCCAGCATGCCGATCGCCCCAGTGACGTTGTAATTTGACTTATGTTAAATTGCGAGAGTCCCGTTAATCAACTTATGGCCCAGATGCATACAAGAACGGACGCGGGCAGGCGGGTCTCTTCTTCTCTCTTCACTGCTCTTTCAGCTATCTTCAAATCTAAAAACCTGGTGTCAGAAGAAGCTTAGTCCATTGTCGCTGGAAATCTCTTCCTTTAGTGTTAACTGGCACATAACACAACTTCAACGTATTTCCGCTAATTAACAGCCTTTGCGCAGCTCATACATTGTGGACTCTCGTTCAGGGCATTGCGAAAATCCACCTCGGCGTCCGCGCGGCCAGTTTAAAAGTCAGGTGCCAATTGTAATGTATGGAGTGTGTATATACGGAGCAAACCACATACGAGATAGCGTGCGTTGCCGGCCGTGTTTAGGCGGTAAATAGAGGTGCACGCGCGGATCAGTCTGGCGGTCGGTGTTGCGCCGGCAGGTGTGGTTCGTAGCGATTCGTATGAGATACGACTACCTGTTTCTCGAAACGAAGAATAAGGACAGCCCAGTGTGAGCGGAGGCGTACGAGTAACTCGCTTCTTAGTGCAGATTTTGGGCTTTAACTCGGTAGCGAAGAGAGCACAAGGTTTCGATTGTGTAAGCGTGTCGTCATCGGGGGTGTTGGTCGCTTCCTGTATCAGAAAGCTTATTGCCCGGAGACGTGGCCAGCGAGCGCGTAGGCAGTGGCCTGGCAGTCGGTCATACCTGCGCACCGTTACAAACGTTGAGTCGTGTAGTTCTATGTGAGCGGTGTGTCATATTCGCGACTGGATAACCGAATGCTGTGTAACGTCGCCGTTGTGTGTTTGTCACCTGGATTAGCCGCTAGCCTTCGTGTGCGGCGGCTGTGTGTTTGTTAGCGCGGACATGCTGGACTGACACTTGTGGTCGACATCGCGTGGATCTCTGGCGTACCGCGCGTGCTAGGGAGCTCCGTAGTACGCCACACAGTGCTCTCTGTGTCAGAATGGATAATGACGTCGTGATAGACATGGGCGGCGGTGTCGTGATACTCATGGGGAGCGAGAGCCTAGACTGTATCTTACAGCCAGGTATATTCAATGCGTGCTGTTGTTATCGTTTGTCTACGCTGTAGTACGTAGCAAGCGCTTTAGCCATAAACAGCCACGCATAGTGTTAGGGGACGGGACTGTAATGTGTAATATGTACACACGCATAAGGTGTAGAAGTAGCTCAGGTAGATTGACGTGTCGTATGGGAAGTGCGGGTTTAACCTACATCATCCTCAATACATTCGCAATGTTCTTACTTGCTTCAGGTAACAATTTTACGTGCATATTGCTGAAAATGCACAAGAGGTGCATTTACGGGCTACAGATTTTTTTGTCTTCACTCTAAGGACTCCAATGAGTTGTCGTGACTAAGTCTTGACTCTAAGGAGAAATGCACGACACTGCACAACATAGTCCCGCTTGTTTACGGGGACGGATATCCTTGTTTTTTTTACGCGGCGCCATAATAAGTGAGCCGGTGTGGCATATATTGTGCGAGTGAGTCTGCGTGTGCATAGTTGTGCAAATTTACATGTTTGAATTAGAACATCATATATGTGTGCGGGATCCTGTGATAGGTGCGTGCGTCTGCATGGTGCTTGCTAAGCTAACGCAAATAGCAGTCAACCTATTATCACGCCAAAGTTATGATCTAGCCTGTGTTTTGTCAATATGTACACATTCCGAGTGAGTGAGTGTGTGTACGTGTGCGTGAGCGTGTGAGCAAGCTACGAATTGTGTTGCCAGGTTGTCTTTGTGTAAAACAGTGCATAGAGAAATGTGAAGTGGTGTTCCAAACATTCTCTGATATTTCTATTCAACTTTGTTCAATAGCACATTACTGGCGGTATCTGCCGTAGCACAAGCATAATATAAAGCATTCTGCCATATACATTGAGCCTTGAAACAGATGTGCAAAATATGTATATTTTAATCATTTAATTGGAAATTTATATAAATAATTTAGTATTCATTCTCTTAGAGCCAATTAGCACCTCTGGCTCTCACTACTTATAATAACACCTTTCTTACCTCATGCGTAAAAATGATCCATTTCCATGAGTCACATTATAAATTTCTACGAGTAGCATTTACATATTTCACATTCAAACACATCCTGACATCTGAATATTCATTATTGCAACCACCCATTCTCTCAGTCTCATGTCACAACTACCCAGACAAGCGTCAGAAATCAAGAATATTATATGAACTCACTTTACAGCAATGAAACTAATGTCCACCTAAATTTGTTGGCAATTACATTAATATGTTCAAATTAGAGGTTGGTGAAAGAGTGATGATGAATTAATTAATTTACTCGCAGTTATTAATTTTATCGTCGCTCGACTGTTCGGCTGTGCTTGGGTAAATGGCTAGGATTACGATCTGCATTAACTTTTCGTAATTAGTTTTAACTAGTTCGTAAAAGTATTTATTTAAGCTCTTGATATTATATACTATATATATATATATATTATATATAATAATATATATGTACAATATATATATATATATATATATTATATAATAATATATATGTACATCCCGAACAATCCCTATCGCTCTAACAAAAATTATTCCATAGCTTCGCTTTCGTTTCTGCCCGCATGGTGTTGTGGGTGCGAATTCGAAACACTGCTCGTGTAATTTAGCGCTCATCATTCTCTCACGTTCGTTTGTTGCAGAGAAAGCCGCGATGCCTAAGAAGCAACGGAGCCGACTGCTGTGCTGCTTTGGCGGCTACCGGCCCCCGGAGATCATCGTCGGCAGTCCTGACAGCAGCCGACCCATCATGATGCAGCCGATCGATCCGAGCCTGCCCATGCCCAACGAAGAGGAGCTGGACGCGAAATTCGCCGAACTGGTGGTGAGTACATAAATCCACAGATAAGAGATAATACACCTGTATATATATAATATATGAGGTGATATATGCACCTGGTGAACTTGTACCGGAGTCATGGGCTGTAGGGAGTAGCCGTAGGCGCTTTAAGTAGCACCTACGTGAATATCAATGCTGAGACTTGCGATGGTCAGTGGTATATCAGACAAATTACCAAGTGTAAGCAGTTTGTTCTTTGTAATACTGACCTTGTCTGTGATTGGCGGTGCGGTTATTTCTCGCGTGCAAGTTGTAATAATTGTGTTGAGACTACTAACTATTAGAGGCAGTACTTATTGTGGATTAGAGACTGTGACTATTTAGACGTACCCGTCCGTGCATCACGATGTCACGCGTGCCTGTCGTACCATAGCCGCACGCAACGCGTTCGTTCCTCGGTTCCATACTGATAGATGGTATAACTCGATCTTTGTATAGCAGATTACCGACTTAAATTCCAGCAGTTTGTACTTCACAACAACGCCATCAAACCCGCAAATATTTACTTGCATATGTCCTTGATATGTCGTGATTAGTCGAGATACGTAGGATTAGTCACCCGTTCATATCTGAAGCGTATAGAACTTGATGGTACGTACATCGTCGTGGTTCTTAAAATTTTGATTACAATATTGTGGTGAAAAATAATGATGACGCCACAGAAAACATAGCGATGAACCGAACATGTCGAACTTCAATAAAAATTAATGGCAGATTTACAATTACTTTGGAATTGAGCTAATTATATAAATATGAAATTGTTGACTATAATTTTATGCTTTTAATACTGTTTCTGTTGTAGTACGTTGCAGTATCCAAATTTGGCATCGAAGCAACGGAGTACTGGAGCTGTCACTACGACAGTTTGAAATTCATATATCCACTAGGTTATCTTTATAGCAATAAAGTTTTGTTTATTTGTAATTTGAAATTCTTCAGCAGGATTATCTGTCGTGTCATGTAAGCCGCTATGCAATCTCCCTCTCTCTCAGGACGTGCGTTATGCAGATTCTATAGCCAGCAGTGAGCGTTGTAATTGACTTGTAAATTGCGAAGTCGTTAATAATTATGGCCCAGATGCATACCAAGAACGGACCGCGGGGAGGCGGGTCTCTCTCTCTCTCTTCACTGTCTTCAGCTATCTTCAAATCTAAACCGTGTCAGAGAACTTGTCATTGTCGCTGGAAATCTCTTCCTTAGTGCTAATGGCACATAACACAACTCGAACGTATTTCGCATTAACAGCCTTGCGAGCTCATACATTGTGACTCTCGTTCAGGGCATTGCGAAAATCCACCTCGGCGTCCGCGCGGCCAGTTTAAAAGTCAGGTGCCAATTGTAATGTATGGAGTGTGTATATACGGAGCAAACCACATACGAGATAGCGTGCGTGGCCGGCCGTGTTTAGGCGGTAAATAGAGGTGCACGCGCTGATCAGTCTGGCGGTCGGTGCTGCGCCGGCAGGTGTGGTTCGTAGCGATTCGTATGAGATACGACTACCTGTTTCTCGAAACGAAGAATAAGGACAGCGCAGTGTGAGCGGAGGCGTACGAGTAACTCGCTTCTTAGTGCAGTTTTTGGGCTTTAACTCGGTAGCGAAGAGAGCACAAGGTTTCGATTGTGTAAGCGTGTCGTCATCGGGGGTGTTGGTCGCTTCCTGTATCAGAAAGCTTATTGCCCGGAGACGTGGCCAGCGAGCGCGTAGGCAGTGGCCTGGCAGTCGGTCATACCTGCGCACCGTTACAAACGCTGAGTCGTGTAGTTCTATGTGAGCGGTGTGTCGTATTCTCGACTGGATAACCGAATACTGTGTAACGTCGCCGTTGTGTGTTTGTCACCTGGATTAGCCGCTAGCCTTCGTGTGCGGCGGCTGTGTGTTTGTTAGCGCGGACATGCTGGACTGACACTTGTGGTCGACATCGCGTGGATCTCTGGCGTACCGCGCGTGCTAGGGAGCTCCGTAGTACGCCACACAGTGCTCTCTGTGTCAGAATGGATAATGACGTCGTGATAGACATGGGAGGCGGTGTCGTGATACTCATGGGGAGCGAGAGCCTAGACTGTATCTTACAGCCAGGTATATTCAATGCGTGCTGTTGTTATCGTTTGTCTACGCTGTAGTACGTAGCAAGCGCTTTAGCCATAAACAGCCACGCATAGTGTTAGGGGACGGGACTGTAATGTGTGTATGTACACACGCATAAGGGGCAGAGGTAGCTCAGGTAGATTGACGTGTCGTATGAGAAGTGCGGGTTTAACCTACACTGCCTCAATACATTCGCAATGTTCTTACTTGCTTCAGGTAACAATTTCACGTGCATATTGCTGAAAATGCACAAGAGGTGCATTTACGGGCTACAGATTTTTTTCGTCTTCACTCTAAGGACTCCAATGAGTTGTCGTGACTAAGTCTTGACTCTAAGGAGAAACGCACGACACTGCACAACATAGTCCCGCTTGTTTACGGGGACGGATATCCTTGTTTTTTTTTACGCGGCGCCATAATAAGTGAGCCGGTGTGGCATATATTGTGCGAGTGAGCGTGCGTGTGCATAGTTGTGCAAATTTACATGTTTGAATTAGAACATCATATATGTGTGCGGGATCCTGTGATAGGTGCGTGCGTCTGCATGGTGCTTGCTAAGCTAACGCAAATAGCAGTCAACCTATTATCACGCCAAAGTTATGATCTAGCCTGTGTTTTGTCAATATGTACACATTCC